TTTGAGTTCTTTTTCATCAATCAGTAACGTTAATCCAGGTTATTTGTTTACTCTTTCCTCTTTGGTAGCCTTCCAGACCCCTTCATGACTGCTATCATCAGTGCCTTCAACACTACCTCTCCTAAGTCTTTCTGAACGGGTGTTTTACGCCTACCCATGGATAAAAAGCCATCCAGGCAATCGGTCTTCAGAAATTTCAAGCTAATTTTCGTGGAGCACAGCAATAGAATTTAGTGTTTATTGGTCAACCATGGAGTTACTGGTAACTGTAAAACAATAGTTGACGGAAAATGAAAGACAATGACAAATACTGTACGAATCTGTATTCAATAATGGAGAAACGACTGCTTTCATAGAAGCCTACACGTTTTGACTAAAGGATAGTGAAGAGCCGTCGTCAAGAAATCTAGAAACATAGTGTCTACAGGAAATTCTAACTTTCGAGGAGTTATTCTTTGCATTTTATACTTTAAGGAAAATGGTCCCCATTGCTACACGGGGAGTTGGCATTCATCAAATAAAAGGTTACTCGGGGAGAAAACAAAAAAAGCAGGCAAGGCATCTACACCCACTACGTCGTAAAAGGGTCGAGAACAAGTAACATCATCGTAGAAACTGCTCTCCACCAGTACAGGCAATAAGTTGGAATGTAAGCGTGGCACTGGAGCGGTCAGGCTGATCACTACCTAACTACCAATTAGTGCGATGCTGAGTTGGTACAACTTCGTCGTTTCGTACTCGGCTACGGCTATGTACTTTGACACCAGCTTTCTAAGCTTGTCTAGGTCCCTGGTTCGAAGAGCTGGGAGCTAGAAGGTTTGCAAAGGGAGAATTCCGTGCTTACGGACTTCACATTCGTAGTGAGAGAAGAAACGATGGTTATTGATATCGACTGCTTTCAGGCCTGCACTCCATTCAGTGGCAATGCTTCTGGTGGAGGTTTGTTCTGCGTCGATTCACCATCCATACTTTGCACCCCATTCACCCCATTCAATGGTGCAGCTTCTGCTGAGTGTCTGTGTTGCTTTGATCCACGACCGATACGAATGAATCTGAAAAGACTCGTGGACAGGTAGAGGGTAAAGTTAAGGTAAACAAATTCTCTGAATACCTGTAGTATAAAGTGAACGCGATGGTGACGATGAGGATCAGAACACAAACGAATAAGATGAATATCAAGGCGTTGAGGAACTGAAAGAATAGAATATATTTCGAATTCATTCTTCTTATCCGATTATCGAGAATGAAAGATTCCTCGCTCGAAAACGACTAGAGTGGAGAATGGCAGGATATCGTACTTTGTTTCACTCCACAAGACCTATTCTCAATTTTCGATTTTTTTT